AGTTCGGTTTTAGCGTACAACACGACTCCTCCCCCCTTTCTGCCGAGCCTATCCTTCCGCAAGATGTCGTATCCTTCGATCTCGAATTTCTTATCCGAAATGTGAGAACCTTCCCAAGTCTCGTGTCTAGTGACTCTAGTCAGGAGAAACCTGAGAGAAGACGCGGGATATTGAGTGGACCATTGACGTCAGTGCTGGAGATCGTATGCTGTCTGTCACCCCACCCTTACCACTCTGGTTTATATTCAGGTATTGCTCGTTGAGGATCTATTGCTTAACAAACGTTTGAGGGAACAGAATTTCGCATTTTTATCCCATATCCATTTTCTGGTTCTCATTACTATTGACCTCTTTCCAAGCTGGTCCCAATAAAGTAACTGTATATTTAAGGAATCAACGGAGTCATTATGAACCTCGAACACCCTGGCGATCTCTTCGTGATAATCATTAACGTTAAATCACGTCGGAGCCGCCTACATTCTATCGGATTAATGGCCGCTTCTGCTTTCACTCTACCTCGTGTCGGTACCTGTGTCTTCTGCTAAATCAAGGGAGCGTGTGTGGGCTAAGCTATTTCCGCTAGAACTGCCAACCGTCGAGAAAAATCGACTTCGGTAGGCCGCCGTAATGCTTCTGATAGTTCTGTGGTTAAGGATGATTTTAGATTTAAATTTAGCGACTTCCGGTCAATGTTATGTCGGTTAATAATAGTTTACAGTGCAAAAGCACCGTGCATGGACATTTGTGCTAATGATGGCGTCCGACTTGAATTCGGAGAAAGTCTTTCCGTAGACATACTTTTCAAATATATTCTGGGGGCTCGAAATAGGCCTCGCATAGGCCTAACGTTACATAATGCATGGAAATCCCTCGAAGAAATCATGAGGGGGACTCATCATCGGGAAATTCTCATGGCGTAAACATGGTAATCCTAGGCTTGACATGAAGTCGGTGTTTGGGTTAGGCCAAGCCTTATAAAATCCCGATGTCTCCTCTGAGTTCTCAACATTTACTATTGCTGTGGTGATTTTCGGTTATTTTTTTATTATAGAAAATGGAAGGTTGAGGAAAGGGGATGATAATAGGAAAGGGTAATGATAGTTCTCGCGTTACTGCCCTCACAAGTTCCAAAGAACAATGGTGAAATGTGGGATCCCTCATGAAATTAACCAACCATGTCGTTGCTTGATTTGTGTAGTGGAACACCACTTTGGTGTGGAACGCACTTTCTGTCTCTTTTTTTTTTGGTTACCGGTAATTCAGCGACTGAGACTCTGAAATATGCTGTTTTGCAAAGCATTAGCTGCTTTCTGTGAATGAGAGTTATTGTCATTTATGAAGTTGCCTGGGACAGGAATACAGAAATGCATCAGTAAGTGAAGGAGTGGGTGTCTGATGTTAAGTATTTATGTTCCAGATATGATAATAACCTGAAAATTAATGCGTAATTTGTTTCTTGGGATCCTACTTTGAGGAAGAATCGTTTTTCTTAGGTACATTCCACAGATAGACCTAATGGCTGCAGAGTTTTGCTTGGAATTTTTTTTCCCATGCTGGCTGTTGCAGCTGTGCAAATCAAGGTGAATCCCACCTTGGAATATTACCTGCGAAAGGAAAATTTTCAAGAGGGAATTTTCAACAGTACCCTAGCCACCCCATGAGCAAAAAAGCTTCAACTTGTTTACATTTTCCTATAGGGGATCTTGCATCAAAAAAAAAAAATTTTCTGATGATACCTGATTGGTGAAATAGCCCCAATTCCTAGATTTGAAGCACATTATATGATAGGACATTCTTAGTAGTTTAAAACACAACAGGCGACACATTGTATAGGGAAAACCAATGCTCATCATGCCGGAAGCAACTTGACTTAACACAGAAACCTTCTGAAATCCTTGGATATTGCCATCACAAATGTTCGTGACAGACCAGAAACGCCCATTTTTGAATCAGGGAATATTGAAGGCAGAATATAACTCGTACTAGTATATGCACTTGGTTCTCGGGGAGCTGACTTCATGAGGAATCGTACTTGAGTACATCCGAGAGGAGCACTTCTTTCTACTGCGGAGTTGTTACCTGACATTTTCTTTCTCATATTGGTCGTTATAGTTGTGTTACAAAAGGTACTAGATTAAAGAACAATTACAAGAGGGAATTTTTAAGGAGAAGCTAACAGTCCCTCCACCTGCCACCTGAAAAGAAAACAATTCAAATTATTTTATGTATTTCTGTTCTTATTTCCTATATTTCCACTTCCTCCATTTTGATTATCTTGTATTACAGAAGAACATTTTGTGCAGAAGCCCAATGGGTGCAACTCCCCCCCCCACACACATAAGATATAAGATGTTATAGCGTCTTTCGCAAGTGTAGGTGCATTTGGCGATGCATTGCAATTTTTAGCCAATTTTTGCCCATTCCAAAAGTCACGTAATGTGGTCTTATAAAGCATTCTGACAACCGAAAAATAAATGGCATCACCGATTTGATACACAGAGCCACAGTCCTGAAAATACAATGCTAAAATGAGGGGATATTCTACGCAGAATATCTTTGCAATACTCTCGACTCGGAATGTCTCCTCTTTTCATTAAGCATAAAATCATATAATCCTGATGTGAGCTTATTTTCAGGTGCAGGAGCGCAAGACGGTTTCAGTCTTCACATTGAGACGCCATGGCGACTCTTGGTGCTGCAGTATCTGCCGTCATGGCAGAGCACCTTAATACATTTCAGCAATTTATCGATCTTGATGAGATTCTCCTATGCTTGATGATAAAAAACGTCATCCAGAACGACGAATACCATGAATTGATGGAGGAGACCAGGGAGAGGAGAAGGAAGCAAGCGTTGTTCCTTCTCAAAAAGATCCCAACTGCAGGGGATGGTGCCTTTTTAGCACTTCTGGAGTGCCTTAATTTGAAGCACCGCAAGTTGGCCGAGACATTACTAACGTCCCTGGGTCAGAAAAATGAAGTTTACGCAAGAGAAGTTCGTGCCCGTAGGTGGTTTTCGCCTGAGTTTATTCATGTCTCATATTTAATTCTTGAGTGCATGAAATCTTGAAAACACGTGCATATCGCACTATAATAGATCTTTAATGTATTATTATAACTTATAAGTAAATAGATTATAAGTAAATGCATATAAATTCAGTGATAGTGACAGAGGCTAGGAAAACCAGAACCTGATGTTGAAAGCTGAGGACCTCTCTTTGAGAGAGAGATAAATTCGATTCATCGAAATAATCATGTTGAGATCACTCTAGTAGTAGTGCATATCTCCTTTATTCCCCCCTGTGATTGCCTGAAGATTAGCAGACCCATTTTCCAATGTCAACTTGCTTCAGGGGGTTACCAAATTAAAAACCGTCCCCAATTAAGAATTCAACATGCCTTCCATTCTCAACATAATGACACTATCTCAGATAGCGCACGCTCTTCGGGCCAACGTAACGACTATAATGTACGGCTAAAAAAGACCAAATACTTTTAACCATTAATATTTCAGCTACAAATGAAGCTTTTTTGCCCAACTTTTGCCATGCATACATGAGTGTGTATCCAACTGATTTTAGTATAGCGTTACTGTATTGTGATCCTTTGGAGTCGTGTGCATTGTGTGGCTACTGCCAGTCCAACCCGTACCTCCAATTGTCCAGGGGCACCTGAGTTTCCACTCCATCAATTCCGTATGTGTCACGTGCAAGGTCTGGCGGATTAATCATTGACAGTTATCACCACAACGTAAGCATGTGTCGCATTTCAGACGAATCCATCCACTACTTCTAGGTGGTGCAATTTCACAGAGGGTATAATCATCAATTTGCTTGGCCGAAGCGATACCATCAGCAATTACAGAAAAAATGTTAGATAATGGACAATAGCTCCTCCTGGTATTGGAGTGGAGGATTACTCAAGCGCTGTCCCTTCTGGCCGTCAAGACCACATCGAACTCTTCTTGCACTTGAATTCATTATTTGAACTGGTCATCTCTTGCAAAAGGTTTTCATAAGTTCATTCCCAATGAATAGCAGGTGAATCAATGATAAGTATCACTCCACGGAGATTCTGGAAATTTATTCAAAATGTATCAGTTTTCTAAAGAATTGCCCATTTAAAATGTCAGATTTATCATAGATCATATTTAACTTTGCCCTTAAGTAAAGGATTTTAGAAGCCTTCTTTATTTTCAAAGAAACCAATGCATTCATCCCCAGCACATTTTGTAAGATATGTATCCTTCACTCGGTCATCAGCAGGAGCTCTTGTTAATTCTCAATGTTTTTTTTCCCAATAATTGCTGATGGTATTTACTTCTACCCAGCGAATTCAGATGAAAATTTGAGAACCAATTGGAAACATGTTCATTTATGCATAATGAAATTTTGCAAAGATTGCTGAGGTATTAAGTCATAAATCCTTTTTCGCATGCCTTTCATATTTCACTCTCAAATGTGAGATGTGGGCCCTATGTTCATAGCGAATATGATCTTTTGTAGGCATGCTCCATATTGAACCATCATCAAATTCAAAATCTGGTCATTTCCGACTTCCTCTGGGAATATTTCTTCTCGTGTGCACTTCATCTTCCAATCAAACTTATATTTTGCATTTTTGGGGCAGTTTCTCTCCATACGCGGTTCTTGGCTTAGGTGACGCCAAATCTATTTTTTTGGTCGAGCTCTGCGATCACAATAGTATCATGCACATTTTAAATTGTTTCGCTTCTTCTTTTTGACGCTAGGCGAATATAATTAGAAGTGTCCTTAATTTTTAAAAGCGCTGGAAATGAAGCAAAGGCATGCAAACAGAAAAATACGACGGAATCTAAAATGTGAATCTCTCTGGAGTGACAAACGTAATAAAACACTGGGGGATGAAGAGAGTACATCGTGTTTCCGTGAAGCAAAATCTTTTGGTTTCCTACATTGAATTTGATCTGTTAGTGGTTGCATCTTCTGTGAAATCATTTTCAAAAGGTGATACCATACTTATTAGACACAATAAAAATGTATTCATCCGAAACCATTGGTAGATAGGGTTCAGTAAGAGGAACATGATTGCAATTGATATTTACATACTTTCCAACTCGCATTTTGTTTACATCGAGATGGCAGGATACATCGCTCAACTTTTGTGGCAAAACATAACTCCTTCCTGTCTTCGCGCAGAATGGGAGAGAGGTTCGTCGCTGGCATCTCAGGGAGGTTTGTCGCTGGCATCTCAGGGAGTAGCAGCTCAACCCGTTGGCCCTTCGGTAAGCTGATCTCTCGTTCGCTCATAAATGTGAGGCTAAAATGAGCTGTAATCATACTTTGTATTGAATTCTTGTAAGATTTCAGTGTAGCTCGACGCAAGAAGCTTGAAGGGAACATGTAATATCTAATGACATTTTACTTAAAACCTATCAACGTCACCTTGAACCTCAATACTTCCCCAGTCCAGTATGTACTAGTGATCAACAGAGACTTCGCAAAATGAGTCAATTTCTCTATTTAAAAAATAATTCACATGGAACGACATTCATTTTGCATATTTTGCTTCCTTTGGTGAGCATGGCGCTCTCCAACCTTTTACTTGCAAATCCTTTTAATAATAAAATAAGCAAGAGCTTCACACAATCACGCAAAAGTCTGAATGTGTGTGGTGTATGGTGCACCATAAACAGCTTCTGGTTTCTTACTCCAGCTATAATTCCTTTATTAACGCCCTGATCATCCCTGATCATATAATGATCCCTGCAAGAATTCATTATATTTGCAAATTTTACAAAATGACGTAATTCACAGCAGTATTTTCTGATTTCCTTGAAAATGTTTCCATTTATTGCGAATCCTAACCTGTCCAGTAACATGTTTGGGGGATGATTTCGTTTTTCTGTAACTTCTATATGCGTGACTGTAGAACTCAGCTTCATGAAGACATTTATTGCCCATTTGTTTTACCATATCGTAATTCTGAAACACAAGTTCGAGGAATCCATTTAAAAATGACTCTCCTTTCATAAAAAATATATATCCTATTTGTTTTGTGATTGCAGAAATAAGGGGATACGCTATAGGAGGAGATTTTTACGGCGATAATATGCATTATAGTCATGTGACTTGTTCCTTCTTCACAGACAACATGGGACAGGATCAGAGAGAACCGTATGAGGCTACGGGATAAGTTTAACTTGGACGTCCACGAGTTGCTTCGTAGTTTGAGCGACAAGGGCGTCTTCACGCTCATCGAGGGGCAGCAGATACGTGGGAAAGCAACCCCCAAACAGCAATTTGATGAGTTCTTTGACCTTCTCATGAGCAAGAATCCACGACTATACTACCCCGTTTTCCTCAAGGCTCTCACTGACATAGACCGGAAGGATGTCCGGGATTTCTTGGAAGGTATTTTGATTACCTGCTAAATACATTATTTGCTCCGCTTATATGGTAATCCTGCAGCATTGAGAGAAATATGCTTCATTGTGGTTTAACTCATTTTCTGGTGTATTTGCCCGTGTGTAGGCTGAGGATTGGTCGGACAACACTTGCAGAATCCACTTGTGAATCTCTCTCATTTCTATTTCTATCTCTTTCTTCTCTTCTTCTCTTCTATCTCTTTTTTATTTTCGTTCATGATGGCAACAAATTCAAAGGATCATTATGGAAATGAATGCTCAATGTGATTGCTCCATGCATGCTGTGTTTATCATTTCCCGTCGTTCGCAAGTTGGTACCACTGCTTCCAAATTCAAAAATGCAGGTCACTAAAACTAATCGGAACTTTTATATTATGTCCGTAAAAACTCAGAAAAGTTTGATGAACCCCGTGTACAAAATGGCATGGCAGATTTTTCTTGATTCGTTCATCCAAAGACATTAACCGACCGTTCCTGTGATTTTGCTTGGGAAATCCGATGTAAAATATGATGAAAATATCTGCGGAAGGTACCTGTACGGTGTCTACGACATTTGGTATTAAAAATGGCACTTCTTGGGCAATTAGGACAATGAAACATTTTGGGGGTTTCTTCTACAGAAGGAGTTGCTGTAACTCTACCAATCGATAAGAGATAGAGTCTAGCTGTCTATTCCGCGATTCTCTTCCTGACACCACAGGAATAAGTTCCCTGTAATTTTTCCTTCTTATTGCTTAGGAGAATGCTCAGGAATTCCTCAATGGAAGAAGGGAAATCGGCCGAAGGAGTCTACTCTTGCCTGGTGGTTGGGAGCAAATGGCCAAGGTTTCCGAAATCCCTCATCGCATTTCTGAGCTTCTCTTAAGAAATGGGGAACATATTAATATGTCCAAGGGATGCGTTTCACTCATCATCAATGACGGAAATGAATTCCTTGAATATGTTTCTCCTTCTTCGCAGATTAAGGGGATTCGGTGACGATACTGCCCAATTTGCTGCGCAAAGATTCGTGACAGTAATAGTTGATGAGAAAAAAGTAGATTTTCTATAGGGTAACTCCAGAGAATATGGCCAGTGGGGTAATATGGACCATCACAAAGAATCCTCTTAGAGACTGAATAGTTAGTTTGAGCGAAATTTAAAAATAGTTATATCGAAGAGTACATGCAATTGTTGAAATGTTTAGACCTGCTCATTGATCCAGTTCTCACAAAAATTCGGATATATTGATGTCTTGAAATTCATATGCACGCGATTATTTGACTCATGACCCTGAAACTAATATGAGCATTGCGCAACTTAAGCGTATATTTCTTAATAGCAGCATGGATACAGAAACCATTTCTTCTAAGTTCTTCTATGGTCTCTCCAGAATGCTTGCGCAAAGTGCTAACCCCATTCATTGGCATTTTGTAGGCAGTGTTGTCAATTTTGTTATGCGAGCCAATATGGGGGAATATGGCCATCTCGATATGGGGACATCCTTCATTTAATGTTAGCACCGCACAGATCTATTGATAGTGTCAGCTTCCTTTCGTGTGGGATCTCTGGCTGCAAATGATCATCCAACGCACTTCCTCTGGATACATGGATAGATTTACTGGCCATCTGAACTAAATTTGCAGTACACGAGGAGGCCGCGCATGAGGATATGCTGATGCACCTCCTGCATCGCTTGACATTCTCCAGAAATTTTTGCTGAAGGCAAGTAAATATTCCTCGCATAAATAAGGCATTTGTGATTTTTTGCCACTATTTATCCATGCATGCAAAAATTACGCAGCATTTTCCATGCAAAGCAAGACCCCGTATTTTACACTCGTAGCGCATGGTCACTTTAATCTGTGCTTAATCACACCTCTTACACACACACAGTCTCTAGCAAAGCAAAAGCGTTGCAATCCTGCTTTCCACAACGGTTCCTCGAGTCAGGGAATCATGTAAACTTCTTTGTTTGCCCTCGGTGCAGTTAGTTTTTCTTTTTCAACTGATGTGAGTCCATCATCATGTTTCAAGGTACTCAATATGTTACAGCATATTTCACACGTTTCAGGACAACCTGGAGTTGTTTTTTCAGAAGTAGCCATATTCCCCCAACTATATGCTAATATGGCCTCTTGAGACTTGCTCGAAAGAGACCAAAACCCGCCATAACCATTGGTTTTTTTTGCATGCGCCTTGCAGGCATTTAGCGAAGGAGATATCAATCAATATTTTCAAAGAATTGTAAAAGTCAAATTCAGCCTAGATGGATCGTGATGACCAGGTTTTATTTTGTACGGCCATATTTCCCCAAATTACCCTATCTCCATTTAGTCTATTTAAGAAAATCCCAGGCTCTCACGTCCTCTCCATTTCCTCTGCATGGTGTCTCCAGTATATTTTCATTGAAAGCTACCTTTCTTTCATATGGGAGTTTTCCTGGAACTTTCCTGATATTCCTCAGGTGAATTTATTACTTCTTGTTCCGTACGAGGTGTTCAGGTCAATGCCCTGAGTTTCCCGCTGCACATTGGATCCGCATATAACGTAATCCTGCAACATTGAGAGAAATATGATTCATTGTGGTCTAACCTATTTTCTGGTGTATTTGCTCGGTTGTAGGCTGAGGATTGGTCGGACAACAACAACAATCCACTTTTGTTGATCAAGATGACATGACATGACGATATCTTCAGTCATCTTTTTTTTCGCTCACGATGGCAACACATTTAGTGCATTATTATGGAAATGGATGCTCGACGTGATTTCTCCATGTATGCTGTGCTTTTCATTTATCGTCGTTCGCAAGTTAGTACCACAGTTTTCAAATAAGAAAATGCGGGACACTAAAACTAATCTGAAATTTTATATTATATCCGTAAAAATTCAGAACAGTTTGGTGAACCCCATTTACAAAATGGCATTGCAGATTTTTCCCTGATTCATTCATCCAAAGACACTAACTGACATCTATGATCTTACTGGGGAAATCCGCTTCAAAATGTAATGAAAATGTCTGCGGAAGAGCGTAACGGATGATACCTTTATGATACATTGGAAAATCGGTATTACAAAATGTACTTCTTGAGAAATGTAGGGAAATGAAACATTTCTGGAGTTTCTTCTACAGAGGGAGCTGCTGTAACTCTACCAATCGATACGAGATGGAGCCTAGCCGTTGATTCCGCGATTCTCTTCCAGACACCACTGGAATGAGTCCCCTGTAAGTTTTCCTTCGCACTGCTTAGGAGAAGGCTTTGGAATTCCGCGAGGAGAGAAAGGAACTTGGCCGAAGGAGGCTACTCTGGCCTGGGTGTCGGGAGCAACATGCCAAGGTCTCCGAATTCCCCCATCGCGTTTCTGAGCTTCTCTTTAAAAATTGGGAGCATATCAATATGTCCAGAGGATGCGTTTCACTCACCATCTATGCAGGAAATGAATTCCCAGAAGATGTTTAGAATCTTCACAAATGAAGGGGATTCGGTGATGATACTAGACGCGTGCCCCCTTTGCTGCGCAAAGTTTCGTGACGGGAATAGTTGATACGAAAAAAAATTTTCTAGGTCACCATTTTGCCTAGTCAAGAAATTCCAGGCAATCACAACCTCTTCATCTCCTCTTCATGGTGTCTCCAGTAGATTTTCATGGAAAGCTACCTGTCCTTGGTATGAGAGCCTTCCTGTTAATTTTCTGATATTCCTCAGATGAATTCATGCCTTTCTTGTTCCGTTACGGAACAAAAGTTTATCGTTATCGGTGTTCTCATCTTTCCCAGTTCACCAACGCAATCTACTCATTAAGAGCTTGTGACTGATATATTGCTTACACCATTTGACGGGTCGGAAATATTTCCCTTACGGATAATTGTTAATTAGCAGTAAGAATAATGCAATAAACAACCAGATGTAAAGGGCATCGTTGAAATCGAAAGGACTACCATGTCCGATCCAAGAGAGAGCACTAAAAAGGTAGCATCACGGAAATAAAGAAATTAATTTTTAAATTAATCAATTAATACTTTTTTGTGCAACGTTTTGGACCATGACAATCAGTATGAGACCACTCTCACCTTCTCACGGGTGAACGGGTAGAAGGTCGCAATTGCGGCCATAGGCCGCTAGTTTGATTGAATCCCATAATAAGAAGTCTGCCAGAGACCATACTGATCTATCAATTGGTCCACGCTGCCGTATCCTCAGATTAGTAAACTTTTCATGAAAGAAGTCGAGAATGAGGAGAGCATAATAGCCCAAAGCCCCATCTTGCATTAAGATTTTATCTAAATTAATTTAAGATGTCATGGTATTAAAAATTTCCCTATTCAGCTTGTCAATATGGCAATTTGCAATTTGCAATGTTGACTCGAGATGGTGCATAAGTCTATTACCTAGACCGCATTCATGAATTGGTGGACAAAAATATTCTTGTCAGTGGATCGGGCAACATGGGCCGATTGATATATCAGTTTGGTCTCCGGGTTTGACATTGGCAGACTTACTTTCATGGGATTCAAAAACACCGTGCATGCGTCAAAACCTGACTCTTCTGGAGCTCAAGAAGTTCTTTTATTGCCACAATGCGAAGTTTGCCAAAGGAAGTATGCCACTGAGTTTGCTGATCAGTATCAGTAAGGCTGTGGTTGTGCTAAGTCTTGATCATTGGACACCTAAGAGCAATTTTTATTAAAAGCTCTATGGCTATACCTACTTCATGTACATTTGTTATGGAGCGCATCAGTGTCTAGTTCTTTTTCTCTGAAATAAACGTTTTGTCTTAATTCAAACGTGCTTCCTCACTTCCGGCCCACTATGTACATTTTAGGATAGTTAACGGATGCGGCAGATGAAGGGAACGCAGTGTCCACCATATAGATTTAGATGATACCATAGTTTTTCATGTCACTTCCAAGCAAGAGCTCATTGTCTTACAGATTTTCCTAAGAGCTGAAGCCCCTTTTCATAACCTAGTAAACACACCAAAATTAAAATACCGATCCCTAAAATTCCTTGCACCTTTTCCCTATCTCTGCACCCTTCAAAGGCCATACCTTGGTCTGATTCTAAGTCTGAACTTTTTTGTACGTAAATCAACATGCAATAATGTATAAGTACATTAAAAGCGGAGAAACAATGTCGAACATCTCTCCCATTCAAGTTCTTCCTTTTCGGCTTGACTTTCAAGCTGAGGGTTGAATAAACTTCACACGTAATGACAAATGAGTCTACAAGCGAGGCCTGCTCTCATTTCATTCTGATTTCCCCTTGATTTAGGTTAAAGGTGGAGGCAGGCGGAGTTTCACGAGTCTGATTGGACTGGCGTGTCGGATCATGGCAGTCATGGCGTTTAATAGGTCATAGATTTCCTTTGGTGATGCTAACTTTAACGAATCTCGCATTTTACCTACATAACGTGTCATTCCAAGCTCCACTCACAAAATGCACTTCTAGTGGAAGCAGAGATCAATGAGGTTTTATTCACAGATGTTTCCCATACTCTGGATATGCCTACATGCAGACGAGTGAGCGCAGTGAGGCAACACCAGAATAATTAACAACGATTCAGAATCACTACCTCACTGGGTAAAAGAGAACGAGAAAAGAAAAGGAGAGAAACCTTGCATTCCACTAACCTCTCCATTCATAATGAAAAAGTGGGAGGCAAATATTGCGGATTCTGAAGAAAGGAAAGGAAAAAAAAGTAAGAAATATTTGCATAAGGAGATGATGGTGATGACACTTATAACTAATGGAACTTCTGCGATCTAAATTCTGACGAAATTCTGTGGCGAGGAAGTGGGTCTAAAAATGCAACAATTTAACATTTTGACTTCTAACTTTTGTTGTAATACAAATGCTCTAGCAATAAATTTCCC